TACTAGTCCTCATCTACCGTCTAAAGTTCATCGTACTGTCACGATTGTCCGATAGTGTTTCAGTTTTTTTTTTATTTTTTTATAAATTAGAATGATATGAAATTTAGAGTGTCACGGTCACGATTGTCCGGTAGTATTATATATATATATATATATATTCTTTTTCAATTTTTTTTCTTTTTCTTCTCGGCTTAGATCACTTACAAGTCATCATTTTACAATAAAAAAACTTCAAATAAAAAAAGAAAAATAATACAACTAGGATCTCAAGAACTTGAAGCTATTCAAAACCTTTCTTTCAAGAACAAAAAAAAGACACAACTTATGCAAAGACATAATATATAAATATGGAACAAATAAAAGAGGGTGCCGAATATTACATCAATCGGGCTTCTTATACCCCATACCGAGTCACCACCTTTCGATGGCTCGGGATCTAATGGTCAACTTTCAATCTTAACCGTAACAAACAAGTTTAGGACAAGCCATACCAATAAAACATGAACCCATTTGACCGCAAAAACTCAAACCTTAAGTGAACTCCCTTTGATAACCTAGTTTGAGAGATAACAACTCTCCAAATCCTTAACCCTTAGCGTCTTTCACAATGTGGGAGAGAGAGATCCAAGAGATGGAGAGAGTGGGCCATGCCCTTTAGGCTTTCTTAAGGGAGAGAGAAAGTTTCAAAGACGAGAGAGAGACTTTCTAAAGTGGGGCGTGCCCCGTAGTTGGATGAAGAGCGAGAAAAAGAGAATCTCAATAGATGGGGCGTACATCCTTTTTTTATGGGAGAGACAAGAGAGAGATTTTAGGTGTGAGAGATATGGTGTAGAGAATATTGGGCAGGATCCATCCATTTTATAGTGCTTCAAGTGGTTTTAGAGTTTCTTCGGGTTTTCATGGCTTGCCTATTTATGTGAGGTTGAATATGTACCATTGTTCTTGGGTGACTTGTGGGGTGAGAGATATTAGCTGTCCATTCCATAGATAGGCTATCAATATCATATGGAATGTGTTAGAACCACTATTCCCCACTTTCTAAACCATTTTCCCATCAATTAATTCAAATAAAAAATTAATATATGATAATATTATCGTTTCTTATTTTATGCATAAACCTTCTCATACATACCAAAATTTCTTTCAAAATTTCCTCAAAGGCTTAAGCTTTCTAAAGCGTTACTTTCTTTTCCCTCAAGCCTTAGAGCTTGAGCACTACAAAATAGAAACTCCTTAGGGTGCAGCATGCCACCCTAGGTGGCACATAATGTGCCCCACTCAAATTGTCATGGTGAGCCCATAAACCTATTTGGCCTCCCATGTAATATTTAAAATAATAGTATTTTAAAAAATTTATAAAATCATATTTGAATATTTAAATCAATTTAAAATCAATATCTCTATTTTTACAAATCCAAATTTGATAATAAAATATCCAAAAATTTAGAAAAATTCAAATAAATGTGCATTGGGGCACTCCATAAATATTTGAATATTTAAATCAATATTATATACTTTGATGTGAAAATGATCCATATAGTCTAAGAACAAATGTGCACTGGGGCACTCCACCTTCAGCTGTAGACCACAGATCACACATGTTTTCTCAAACCGACCCAGTGTTGCCCATGAACCCACAATCCATGTAGGGGATCATAAGTGGGTCGCCAAAGTCTAGCCAATGGGCAATGGGTCGTAGTCTCAGCCTATGGATTTGAGGTTCTCCCTAGAGACGAAACCAATATCACCTAGACCTGATGCAATCCATTGCTCGATGGTGCACAAGAGTTATGTCTCGCACATGTATACACGCTTCACCCTGAAAGGTGGTTTGTGTTTCCAAAAATGGCATCAATGTGCATGTTGTGTGATGGTATGCGGATGAGGCTTTGGCCACGTCTCTAAAGGCCTCCATCACACATAAGAGTCACATAGTCATTCGGCTCACTCTTCTTGGC